CNCACACACACACACACACACACATGCACACACTCCCCCCCCCACACACGCCCCCCTCCCTCCCCTTTCCGCAGCCTGATGATGGTGTGGACTGCGCCGCTGAACCCCATGACCGAGTCGCTCGACACGCTGTGCGCAGCGTGGCCCGAGGACCGTGCCGGTACCGTGCGCTCCTTCTTCACCAACCTCTGCGAGTGAGCGGGGACCAAATGAAGTTGGGCAGAAACCGTGCGGGCACCCTCGCACACGATGTGGTACCATCGATGTTATCCATGCCTGCCCACCCCTCCATCCAGCCAGCCACCGCCGCCGCTGCCGCCCGCCCATGTCACACGCCAAAGCAGCCGTCGTCTCCCTCACCCTCGCCTTCTGACCCTTGCCATGGCCGCCGCCGTCTCTGTTGCCGTCCTGGCCCGCAGGTGGATGCAGGGCGACGGCCCCGAGGCGGACGCTGCTCGCAACAAGAAGTTCAAGCTCATCCCGCGCATTGTCAGGGGCAGCTGGATCGTGAAGCAGAGCGTGGGCACCACCCCCGTGCTGCTGGGCCAGAAGCTGACCACGCGCTACTTCCGGGGGCCCAACTACTTCGAGGTGGGGGGCTTGTGGGGGTGTGGTGTGTGTTTGAGGGAGCCTGTGTGTGTGTGTGTATGGTGGTGGGGGTGGGGGTGCGGGGGTCGTGTCAGCGAGCAGGGGCAGCATGTTGGGTGGGCGTGGATGGTTGCATGCATGCATGTGTGTGTGTGTCCCCGTGGTGTGTGCTTCGGCGGCCGCTGCTGCACGCAGCCCCCTGGGCAGCAGTGGAGGGCATGCGATGTCATTGGGCCAGCTGCCCTGGTGCCTCGAGCGCGCCACGCCATGCCCCCCCTCTCCTGCTCAGCCTCAAGCACACGCGCCCACCCACCCCGCCTACCCACCCCGCCCCGCCCTCCCGCTGCCCTGCGCCTCCCGCCCCCTATACCAGGTGGACGTGGACATCACCAGCAACACTGTGGCCAACAGCGTGACCAGCCTGGTGGTGGGCGCCATCACCAGCCTGGTGGTGGACCTGGCGCCGCTGGTGGAGGGGCAGGTGTGTGCGTGTGGTGGTGGTGGGGGGCATCCCGCCCGCTGCCGCGGCGTGCAGGGGCGGGCTGCCCGACTGCAGCGGCTGCCTCTGGTGCCTGCACCTCTCCTCCCGAGCGCGCTGCGGCCCGTGCCCTCCCTCTCGGTCAGCATCTTCTCCCCGCCCTCCAACATGCTACCACCATTGCGCAGGCCGAGGACGAGCTGCCCGAGCGGCTGATTGGCAGCGTGCGGTTCGAGCACCTCGACCTCAAGACCGCCGCATACCTGGATGTGAGCCGCCCGGCGCTGCGCCCTGTGCAGCGCTGCTGTGGCCTGTCGCAGCTGTGGCCTCGGCAGCGGCGGCTGGCCTTGCAGGCGCCTCGAAGCTGGGCGTCCAGGGCCACTGCCAGCTGCTTGTTGGCACTTAGCAGTGAGAGACGACCCGCGATTGCGACTCTTGTGCCATTTTGGGTGCAGGACGAGTCAGGGAAGATTTACAAGAATGAAAAGTACAGCTAGGGGCCGACCGCAGCCCGCCAGCCGACCCGCCGCTGCCCGCCCTCGCAGCATCCCTCCCCGCCGCGCACCGCAGCACGAAGCGCACGCGCTGGTGATGTCAGCAGGGAGGCCAGCAGCCCACAAGGCCCACTGGGCCCTGGTTTTGTGCGCGTGCTTGTGAAAGAAGCATTTTGTATTGATGTCCACACTCTCTTCATCTCTTGTTGCCTCGTGTGTCACCGCACTCACTTGTGTTTTTGCCGCCCGCCCCGAACTGCCCCAATGCCTTTGAACAACACACGTATTTTGAGCTTCCTGCCTTTTGTCAACACCCAGCCAGCGAGCTTGGCCTGGACAGGAGCCAAAAGGCAAAAATTAGCAAGCGTGGAGCGGGACGGGCGGTGGGAGGCGGTACACGAGGGCTGGAGCCCATGCCTCACGTCCTGCCTTTTGTTCGGCTTGCACAGCGTGAACACGTCGTCCTGCAAGGCAGCACTCCTCGTGCGGCCCTTCATAGTGGCAGCATTTAACAAGTTCGTTGCAATCCTTTTCATTCAGCAGGTAAGTGCTCTGGCGAGCGATCTGTCTGTGTTGCAGCCGGGTGCTGCTGCTCAATCGTGCAGACCGCCTGCCGCACCTAACGCCGTGCCCTGCCGCCACCACCTCCCGCCCCTGGCGCACCCCCACCCCTGCCTTGCCATGCAGCAGCAAAGCTGTTTGCCGCATGCTGGCCATGCGGCCCCCGGTGAAGAATGGCAACAACCGGCGCCCCCGCGGCTGGATTGTGATCGTCACCGGCCTGCTGCTGGCTGGCGGCGTCTACAAGTGGGCCGCCAGGGAGGGGCACACGCTGGCAAGGTCTGGACTGACCCCAGCAAAGCAGGAGGAGGCTGGCCTGACTGCAACAGAGCAGGAGGAGGCCGGAACGACGGCAGTAGAGCAGGAGGAGGCCGGAACGACGGCAGCAGAGCAGGAAGGCGCCGACTCGAGCGCAGCAGAGCAGGAGGAGGCAGCCACGGCGGATCAGGGGGGCGGCAGCCTGAGGTCAGCACAGGAGGAAGGAGCTGGCATGGCGGCAGCAGAGGAGGGGCAGGGCGCCGAGCTGAGCGCGGCAGAGGGGCAGGAGGAGGTCCCTGGTTTGAACGAAGATGAGGAGTATAAGCAGGCTATGGCGTCGGAGAAGGTTTTGGAAGCGGCCGAGCGGCAGGAGCAGGAGGAGCATGCGCAGGCTCGGGCGCAGCAGCAGTGGGACGCGCTGGCGGTGCACAGGCCAGACTGGAGCGAGGCCTGCACGGAGCCGCCCTGCTCAGGCATTTACAGCAAACTCGAAGACGGCAGCCCGCTCCCGTCGGTGAGCACACCTCTGTGGCGACATGCCCAGGCCCTGCACCCTGCCTGGCCGCCCTCCTGCTGCCCGACAGATGCGCGTCTTGCGCCTGAGCCCTCTGCCTCTGCTGCGCACCGCAGGTTCCTTGGGCGGGCCTGATCGGGGAGGACGCCTGGCTGCAGAAGAACCTGTTTTTCGAAAAGAAGGTGGCTGGGTGCATGGGTGGAAGGCGAATGTGCACGGTCGGCTGCGTGGTCGCAGGGGGCTGATGGGACCCCCCTGCTCATTTTTTGCTGAAGAGCAGTTGCCGTGTCTGCCTGGTGTGTGATTGGCTGCGCCGCAGGGCGGGTTCTTCCTGGGGTTTGGCTGTGCCGCCAAGGACGCCTGCAGCGCCGCCTGGTTTGCCCAGGCTGCCGGCTGGAAGGGCCTCCTCGTCGAGGGTGACCCTGGTGGGTGATGGAGGCGGTTGTGTGTGTGTGTGTGTGTGCTCTGCTGCCTGTGGTGGTGGTGTGAAGGAGAGTGGCAGGTGGGTGCTGGCCCGCCTGCCCGCATGCACGTGCGGCCAGCCGGCAAGGCGCATTCCCGAGGGTTGGGGTGGGCTGCGGCTGAGTGGATTGTGTTGCGCTGCTGGTCTCGCTCTGAGCGCCATCCTTTCTTCCCTGCAGGCGAGTACAAGGGGGTGGTGGAGAGCTTCCCCGACGCCATCGGCGTGAATGCTGCCGTGTGTACCGACCAACAGACAGTGGTGAGGCATCTGCTTGGGACCTGCCGTCGGCTCCTGCCAGCTGAGGACCGCCTCTCTGCAGCCACCCAACCCGCCGCTGCACACACAGCAGGCCCAGCGCGCAGCACCACACCCATACCTGCGCACTCTCACCCCACCTCCGCTGCCGCCTCCTGCCACCACCGCAGCGGTACCACAGCGACGGTACATGGGGCGGGGTGTGGGACTTCATGCCGGAGGCGTACCGCCAGGAGCACCACCCTGAGGACACGGAGGATGGGATGGCAGAGGTGGAGTGTACGCCGCTGCAGGTCATTCTTAACAAGTGAGCGGGGACTGGTGGCAGCCTGGGCCGGCAGCACCGCTGCGCCTGCCCGCCTGCCTGCCCGCCCGCCCAGGCCTTGCTGTGCCAGCTCGCCTGCCCAGGCCTTGGCTGGGCTTGGTGCAGCCTGGCGAAACAGGCGCAAAAAGAAACTCAACCGCCACGGTGTGTGCGGCCCAGGCTGGGCATCGACGCGATTGACCTGCTTGTGGTGGATGTGAATGGCGGGGAGCTGGAGGTGCTGCAGTCGCTCGACTTCGGCCGGGTGGCAGTCAAGGTGGTGGTGGCGGCGATCGAGGTGCTCGACGGCGTGGCCCAGCACGAGCTGGCGGCGCAGCTGTCGGCCGCCGGCTTCCAGCCTGTCGCCAAGGCCAGCGGCAGCGAGATGGCGGAGAAGCTGGCGGTGTTTGTGCACGAGAGCGCGTGGCCGCAGCTCAAGCACGCGCCCGACGTGGAGAAGGTGGAGCTGTGATGCCACCAAGGATGGCTTTCCACAAGTGAAAGACGCATTGGCACGAGGCGGGGTCGGCGCAGCGCTGGCAGCAGCGGCGGCCGGCGGCATGCTGGCTCCCCCTTGCATGCTCATGTCATTGCTTTTCGTGCTATTGGCCTTCGCAGCACCATGCCGCTGCTCCCCACAGACGCCGCTGCGTACAAGCTGCTGCTGGTTGCGGCTGCAAGCGCTGCCTCATCCTCGCTGCTTACCTATGCCGTCTTTCGTTGGCAACGCAGCAGCGGGAGCCGTAATCAATCAGTGCAGCAGCAGCAGCAGGGCGACAGCACGCAGGGAGATGGTGGCGATTTGAGCGAGGAGCTCGAGCCTGCGGCCCCTGCTGACCCCTTCGACCCCTGCCCACGATTGGGGTGAGCGGACAGCACGCCCTCTCGCAATTGTAGGGCTGCGCCATGTCGCTGCCGCCGCCGCCGCCGCCGCCCGACTTGCGTGAGCACGCCTGGATGCATCTGGAGGGCCTGTGCTGCTGCCCTTGCCGCTGCAGCTACCTGTCGTGGGATGACTACTTCATGGCGGTGGCCTTCCTCAGCGCCCAGCGCTCCAAAGACCCAAACAAGCAGGTTCGGCCGGCACGTGCGATTCGCCTGCCTGCCCTTGCCTGTCCTCCAGCCCTGGGCTGCTGCTCCCGCTCCCCCTCACCCGCCTGCCCCGGCCCGGCCCCTGCTGCTGCCCCCAGGTGGGCGCCTGCATCGTGGACCGCAACAATGTCATCTGCGGCATTGGCTACAACGGCTTCCCGCGGGGCTGCCCAGATTCCAAGGTGCGGCGCAACCCCCGCGGTCCCGCCGCCCGGGCGTCTGCAGCGCGGCTGGCAAGCTGGCTGGGCAGCTGGTTGGGCTGTGTTGTCCATACACGCGTACCCAAGCACACACAAACACGCAGGCACCTTCCAACCTCGCGCCAACACACAAACCTGCATCCCCACCCCGCCACACCCCACCCCACCCCGCAGCTGCCCTGGGCCAAGAAGTCGAGGCGTGGCGACCCGCTGGACACCAAGTACCCGTACGTGTGCCACGCAGAGATGAACGCCATTCTGAACAAGAACGGGGCCTCGGGTGCGGCGGCGGCAGCCGGGCGGCGCATGCAGCTGCCTGTTCTCAGCTGCTGCACCACGGCTGGGCCCGTGGCATGCGCCTGCTCCAGATGGGTGTAACCGACAAGCAGGCAGACGACAGCGGCGGGGCTGGGGGAGGTGCGGCATGCCACCCCGCTGCCTGCCTGCCGCCCTGTGTGCGCAGTGGAGGGCGCCAAGGTGTTTGTCACCATGTTCCCCTGCAACGAGTGCGCCAAACTCATGATTCAGGTTGGGGAGCTGTGGGGCCTCTGTCTGTGTTTGATGTGTGTGTTGTGTGTTGTGTGTGTGTGTCATGTTCGTGTGCTGGCAAACAGGTGTTTAGACCACCACACGCGCACACACCGCCGCCGCCATGCGCCTGCTGACAGTCACGCGCTGCCCTTGCGCCGCAGGCGGGCATCCGGGAGGTTGTGTATCACGAGGGCAAGGACAGCCAGCCGCCCCGCTCAGACAGCCCGCTCATCACAGCCAGCTTCAAGTGGGTGGGATTGGAGGGTGGGGCGGTGCTGGGGCGAGTGAGGCAGGGCTGAATGGCAGGAGGCTGGCAAGTGCAGCACCCCTCCCACACACCAACCCGAACAACACACCATCCCCGCCCCCGCCTGTACTGCAGCCGTGACCAGCAGTACGCCGCCTCCCGCCGCCTGCTGGCGCTGGCTGGCGTCAGCCTGCGGCAGCACTTGTTCCAGAAGCCAGTGCTGCTGCGGCTCACAAATGAGTCCCGGAGCCCAGCTGCATTACTCAGGCCCAGCAGCAGCAGCAGCAGAGGCGACGCCGGCAGCAACGGCAGCGGCACCGCAGCCAATGGCAGCGTGGTGGCAGGGGGCACGGCAGAAGAGGCAGCAGCTGCAGAGGCGCCGGCATCTGTGGCGCCCGCTGTGGCGGCGGCGCTGCAGAACGGCGGCAACCACAGCGGCAGCCTTGGCGCCGCCCAGGCAGCGGCAGCGGCGGCGAAAGCGGCGCACGGCCGGCGGCGGCGTGGCCGGCGGCAGACCCCGCAGGAAGCTCCCGCACACGAGCAGCAGCAGTAGTGGGGGAGGTGCCAGGAGGGTCCACGCCGCCGCGGAATAGACCTGGCATTTCTCGTGATTCATTCAATGACTGCCAAGCCGACCAGGAAATGATTTCAAGCAAGAGCAGCTGCTTTTCCTCTGCTGGGTGATAATGAAATCCAAGGGAGAGCTTCCATTCAGTCAGGCTGCATCAGAAACAGGCAGTTCCTCGCTAGATTGTCACCCGCTGCTGCTGCCCCGCATCCTGCCGCCGCCCCTGCTGCTGCTGCTGCATGTGTGCCAGGAAGTCGCGCAGGCGACCCGCCACCGCCTTGCTGGCAGGGATGATGTGGCTGGCGGCGTGCCGCACCACAAACCGCTGTGAGCGCAGCTCAGGCAGGCGGGCGGTGGTGTGCGCAGTCAACACACGGCACGGGAATCAGAAATGCTGCGCGTCCTGGCATTATAGGCAGGGGCCCAGCTGCAAAGTGCAGACACCCCACCCCATCCCGTTTCTCTGGCAAGGGACCCTCGCCTGTGGGGTCGAAGCAGTCCGCCAGCTCAGCGCTGTGCTGGGCGCCGATCTGTCGGTCATTGGCCCCTGCAGCACGGAGGGTTGGGGCAGGCCAAAATGACACCGCTGAGCGAGAGCAGCTGCCATGCCGCAGCGGCAGGTGTGGGCAAGAGGGGCAGAGGCGGGCAGGCAGGAGGCACAGCCGGCCGTGCCTGCGCCGTAAATGTGCAGGGTGGGCAGCGCGGCGCCACCCGCCGCGGCCGCCGCCTCCAGCGCTCGGCGGTGCTCCGGCAGCGGCGAGCGGTAGCCCGAGCACAGGATCGCAAACCGCAGCAGCGTGCGGGGTGCCTCTGCAGGCGGCGGCACGACTTGTGCGTGAAACCGTCACTGCCCATCCCCTGCACTGCCCCAGCCTGCACTGCAGCTGCCAGCTCAAGTGTGCACACTACGTGCTGCTACTGGTCCCGGCTGCCTCGCCTCCTCCCACCAAGCGCCACCATGCACTGGCAGCCGGGCATGTCGATGCATTGCATTCTTGCAGTCACCACGCCGGATCGCGCTGTGCCACACACCGAACCTGCTTCCACCAGCTGCGAACGGCGGTACCGCTTTGTTGCATAACAGGCTGGAATGCAAAACAGAAAACACAAGGGGCAAGGATGATGTGGCACTTCCTGTTAATGTACACCGCGCAACGAGCAGCCACAGGCGAATCTGCTCCTGCCAACAGCTCGGAAACAGCGCCAGCCCCCTGCCGCTGCTCAAGTGCTTGCAGCGCCGGCGCCTGCACGCCGCACGCCGCCTCCTCCACCTCATGCTCCTCTGACGACGACCCTCGCAGCTCGAGGCGCTGCTGCAAGTCCAGCACGCCTGTGGGCGTCTCTGAGGCCGGCACCGCCTGCTGCTGCTCCTCCTTGGCTGCCGCCGCCGATGCCTCCGCACCAGCCGGCGCCTGCTGCTGCTCAGCTGCTGCTGCCACTGCCGCCTCCCCAGGCAGCAGCCCGACTTGCGGTATCCATCAACCCACTGTTGCTCGTACTGCCGCAACTGCTCCTCCACAATCTCTATCTGCAGGCAGCAGTGCAGTGTAGGCGCAAAACAGTGCAACCCGATCAGCACAGTGTCTAGAGCAGCCTAGCAGACAATCGCCCGGGATGTGGCGAGAAGGCTCAACTCGTTGCCACTGAAGCCATGCCATACCGCCCCATCCATTCCCTGCCTGTCGCCACCCCCGGCCTGCAACCGGCCCAACACTCGTCCTCGCAACAAAACAACACTCTGAGTGAATGGACCACCCCACTCACCAAGTCCAAGTTTTTGTGGCAGGTGGAACATAGGTCCATGGCTGGCACACCCCGCATCTCCTCCAGTGTCCCCTGAGGAAGCTCCAGGTGCGCTACTGCCACAAGCCTGATCGGGCGCCGTTCCAGGGCTGCGCTCAGCTTCTCGTGTAGCTGCCGCAACCGCGTGCGGTAAAACACAGCTCGGGCTGCACAGGAGGCAGCCAGTCGTCATGATGCATGGCCACCGCCCAAACAGCACTGTGCATGACCAGCAGCTGCCAGCCAGTCACGAGAATGTTGCTCCAGCATGGGGGCCCGGAACTGCACAGGACTTCGACGGAAGATGGGCACAGGGTGATAAGGAATTGTGGCTCTAGCACGAATGCTCATGTGCCCTCATGAGGCGGCGGCAGGGGCGGCGATGCCGCCCAAACCCTCGCACCTCGCAATCCTCTATAATTAAACGGAGGCCCTGAACGCACAGGTCACGAACGCGCTGCGGGTCTCGCTGCCCTGGCGGCTTCGCCAGCTCCTCACGGAATGCTTGGCGCACTGCCATACGCAATTCCAGGTGCTCATCTGTACATGGTACGGGTGCACGCGGCTGGGCTTCAAACAGGCCAGCCAGGCCGCTGCACACGTTTGCCAGCCACTGCATCGCGCAGGCGAGGGCTGGCCTAGCTCCGTTGCGGGGCGTTGTGTAAGGGAGCGAATCTTGCCGTTGCGGGGCCTTTTCGCCCCCGCATGGGGGTGCTGAGCTGTCAGGCGCCGCCCGCCGCCGCCTGCCCGCCTCCCCCAGGAGGAGCCCTGCCCCTGCTTGCCCACCACACAAAGCATTTGTGTGGGCACCAGCAATGGCAGAAACTGACCGTGTGGATCATGATCTGTGCAGTCAGACTGCAGGTCCATGGCGGCAGCACGTGCGGCGGCGAGCGCTGTCGGGCCAATCTCACCCAGCTGCTGGTGGCACTGGCACAGCCATCCATTGCCCCTATCAGCCGCCATCTGCCCTCACAGAACCCAGCCCCTCTCTGAAGCCCCCACGATCGCCCAGCACGTCCAGGACTGCCGCCCCCAGGCTGATCCGACTGGTAAGCACTGGCTGGAGGGCCAGGAGGGCTGCCTAAGTGCTATGCATATGAAGAGGCTACTGTGGCCTGCGAGTTGCTGGGCAGGAAGGCAGGCCCCGGCTCCCCTGGTAGGCTGCCTTGGAATGCGGTTGCAGCTGCGTATCATTCGAGGGAGGCGACTCAAGTCCCAGGCGTGGCATGGCGTTGGCTGCGGCGGTGGGCGGTGGGCGCCGCCGCCGCCGCGTTTTCCCGCCGCCACCGCCCCAATGCAAGATGCGCCTTCTCCACCACCCCAAATGCCATCCATGACTGTGCCATCCACTGCAGACCGGCATGGAGCACTTCGAGGAGGGCGTTGACCTTGAGATTGGAATCGATCAGGTGAATGAGGCCCTGGCGGCCGACGATACGCACGCCGCCGCGACGCCTCAGCGCCGCCTGCTGCCAGGCACGACTGAGTTCAGTCGGCTGGTGACGCTGATCGTCGTGGGCTGCGCTGGCTCCCTGGCCTTGGTGCTGCCCCTGCGCTCGCCCCCCGGCTGCGACGAAGCCCCCGCGCCCGCCCCCACCTTTGCCCAGCTGGCGGCCATCGGCCTGGGCGGGGTGTTTGCCTTCAAGGGCATTGCTGCTGGGGCACTGTATGTGGCCGCCAGCGGCCAGCGGCTCATGAAAGAGCTTGCTGCGGTTGCCCTGACGGCGTTCACAATTCTGGTCAGTTTCAGCAGCTACGTCTACTACTGTAGGCGCAGCGTGCTGGGCCTGTGGCCCTACCTGCTGGCCCCCCTGGTGTCAGGTGAAGTCACGCCCGCACCCGCCTGCCAGCCTGGGCGCAGCCGCCCGCCTGGCGCTGAAGCCGCTCCGCCCGCCCGGCGCTTTTTGTAATCGGCCTGGCCTGCTGGCTGGGTTCTGAGCGGCTGGGCTTTTCGGCGGGATGTATGACGATCTTCGCTGTTGCCCTGGGCGCCGGCCAGATCACTGGGTGGCTTGCGGCGGTCACCATGGTGGTCCCTGTCCTGGCGGGGCTGCTCGCGTGGTGCCCTGACATGCCTGATCTGACGCACCTGATATGGGATGAGTTTTGGTGAGGCTGCGCACTCAGCCTGATCCAAGCTGGGGCTGCTTGATGTCACCATGCTGCTTGGTGGCATCGCAGTATTGCAATGCTTGCGGGTACCATGCTGGTGGTGCTCGCCCCACAAGCCTGGTCTGGTTCCACCCGCTTCTCGTGCAGGCCAGCCGCAGGCAGATGGCCAGCAGCCCGCGGCTGGCCAGCAGCTGCCGCACAGCCACACAGCCGCACAGCAGCAGTGGCGACGCCGGCGGCAGCGGCAGCGGCAATGCAGCCAATGGCAGCGTGGTGGCAGGGGGCACGGCGGAAGAGGCAGCAGCTGCAGAGGCGCCGGCATCTGTGGCGCCCGCTGTGGCGGCGGAGCTGCAGAACGGCGGCAACCACAGCGGCAGCCTTGGCGCCGCCCAGGCAGCGGCAGCGGCAGCGAAAGCGGCGCACGGCCGGCGGCGGCGTGGCCGGCGGCAGACCCCGTAGGCAGCTGCCGCACACGAGCAGCAGCAGTAGTGGGGGAGGTGCCAGGGCAGTTTGAGCCGCCGCGGAATGCTCCTGGGGTTCTTCGTGATCCACTCAATTACTGACGAGCCGACCATGACATGATTTCAAGCAGGCGCAGCTGCTTTTGCTCAGCTGGGTGATCATGAAATGCAAGGGAGAGCTTCCATCACAGTCAGGCTGCATCAGAAACAGGCAGATCCTCGCTAGGTTGTCACCCGCTGCTGCTGCCCCGCATCTTGCTGCTGCTGCTGCTCCTGGTGCTGCACGTGTGCCAGGAAGTCGTGCAGGCGCCCCGCCACCGCCTTGCTGGCAGGGATGACGTGGCCGCCGGCGTGCCGCACCACAAACCGCTGCGGGCGCAGGCAGGCGGGTGGTGGTGTGCGCAGTCGATACACGGCAAAGGCATCTAGAATGCTTCCTGTCCTGGCAATCATAGGCAGGGGTCCAGCCGCCAGCCACCCCACCCCATCCCCCGTTCTCAGGCAAGGCCCCCCTCACCTGTGTGGGGTCAAAGCAGTCTGCCAGCTCAGCGCTGTGCTGTGCGCCAATCTGACGGTCTTCGCCCCCTGCAGCACGGGGGTTGGGGCAGTCCAAAGTGACACCGCTGAGCGAGAGCAGCTGCCATGCCGCAGCGGCAGGCGCGGCAGGTGTGGGCAAGAAGGGGCAGAGGCGGACAGGCAGGAGGCACAGCCGGCCGTGCCTGTGCCGTAAATGTGCAGGGTGGGCAGCGCGGCGCCGCCCGCCGCGGCCGCCGCCTTCAGCACTCGGCGGTGCTCCGGCAGCGGCGAGCGGTAGCCCGAGCACAGGATCGCAAACCGCAGCAGCGGGCGGCTGCTTCCAGGACGAGCGGCGCCCACGAATCCCTCTTGCTCCAGCTGCTGCTCCTGCTGCTGCTGCTCCTGCTGCTGCTGCTCCTGCTGCTGCTGTTCCTGGTGGTGGTGGTGGTGGTGTCGCTGCTGCTGCTGCTGCTGCTGCTGTGCCTCCAGCCACTGCCGCGCCGCCAGGAAGCCCGCCACCGCTGCGCCCTGCGAAAAGCCCAGCACGCCATCCCAGGGCCCCTGATCCCCCAGCACCCGCGACAGCAGCTGCTCAGACTGCCGCCACCCGGCAGTCTGCGCCTGGAACTGCCACTCATCAACATACCCGGCAGCCAGGCCGGGCCCAGGCGCTGCTGAGCTGTTGGAATGCTGCTCCTGAGCCTCCTCCTGCTGCGGGTGTTGAAGTGCTGCATACTGCTCCGGCACAAGCAGCCAGGCGCGGCGGGGAGGGCCGCCAAGCTGCCCCTGCTGCTCCTGCTGCCGCCCCTGCCGCTGGGGCTGCTGCTGTCGCTGCCGCTGCTCCTCCTCCGTCGGGTCCTCACAGTCGGCCTGCTGCTGTGCCAGGATGGCCGCCAGCTCAGCCGCTAGCTCAGCATCCAGGTCACCAACTGCTGCTTCCTGACTCTCCTGCCTGACTGGGGGGCTTCCAGGTGAAGGGCCTCTTCCTGCCTCTGCCACTGCCTCTGCCACTGCCCCTGCCTCTGCATCTGCCTCTGCCCCTGCCTCTCCCGCTGCTGGCGGTTTGGTCCAAGCTGGCAGCTGGTGAGGCCCATCCACAAAAACAAACTCAGCCACATCTCGCAGCCGCTTCCGCAGCCCGTGCGTGCGTCCCTGCAGGCCCGCGGAGCACAGCGGCAAGGCACAGCCAGCTTCAAGCAGCCAGCAGAGATGGGCCGCCCAGCGTGTGCACCGGCAGTGGCAACATGCTGGCAGGGGCGGAAGGCAGGCAGCAGGCAGGCAGGCGGGCGCCCCACCTCGAAGTTTCGGGCCGTCTGCCGGAAGCCGTGAAGGCACAGGATGCGCAGCCGCCTGCCGCTGCCGCCGCTGCCTGCCGCCGCCGTCGCCTGCTGCTGCTTCCGCCGCAGACACAGCTCACATGTGAGCTGCTCAGGTGTGCTGCATGTTGTCGCGGAGGCCTGGGCTTGGGCTGCACCCTCAGCCGCACAGGCATCACACACCAGCACCAGCATGCGGCAAGTGGCGCAGCGGCGGCGGTGGGAGTAGTCGCCCCACGGGGCACCACAGGCCACGCATGCGCCCACAACTGCAGGGCCAGCGAAAGCAGTCGCACACACATCGCGTCCCACAGACGTGTGCATCCAGCAAGCGGTTGTTATACAGGCACATGCAGCCTCCTCTGCCTCGTCGGCCTACCCCTCTGCCCCTGTCCCTCTTGCCTGGGACACCTTCCCCACCTAAGCCGCCCATCCACCCACCCACCTGCGCCGCTGCCTCCCTCCACGCCCCCTCGCTCGTCAAACACAAAGTTGGAGCCACGGAAGAAGCCGCCGCCTGGGTGGGCCTCCAGGTACCGCTGGATACCACCTGCAGTACCAAGTGCCATGGCGGTGCCACACTTCGTGGGCGGCTGTGGGG